CTATTTTAGTCTTTATTTACTCTTTATTATCGGACAAGTTGCGTGCCAATATATCGATATCGCTGTCGGCAAAATCGCCAAGTAATCTCTATTTCTAGACAGGTTGGAACACACATGCGGAATTATCGGTGAGGTTTGCCCTTTCAGGAACATACGGTACGAACGATACAATGTACGAGCTTGAATTAGGTGATAATATCCGTGGAAGATTGATTCGTCACGTTTCAGTTTGATTTTCGCAACGGATTGCTTTTCGTTTTTGTCTCGATTCTTTTCACGATGGTCAGACCATGTTGGATTCGACCGAAATCAATATTTAGTACTACGTAATAAAACTAAAACATACCTATATGGTTTCAACCCCGAAGCGAGCGCGTGGAATGACATGTGTCACTCAGTCTTTTTATTTAATATCTCACTCCGTTGATGAAATTCGTAACTTGAACGATTTCCAATGACCAAACATTGCAACTTCATATTTCACGAACAAAAAGATGCGAAACAAAATGAGAAAGATAAATATACGAGATATTTATGAAAGATTTCACAGATAAGAAGAAAATGTTCAGAAAAATACATTATATAAACTCGATCGTTTGACATTTAAATGCGAATAATAGTATTGAATAAAATTTAAAATAAATGCTATTTCAAATTCAATGTAAAACGCTCTCGCTCGTCACTCGGTTTTTTTGCATTTCTAGGCAAAATTGCCTCCTTTTAATTCTTTACTGTTTTAATATCAGCGTAACACAATTATCATATAATTGATAGTAACCAATCAGAGAACTGACGAACTACATAATTTTGTGAAAAATTTTCAGGAGACGCACTCGCGAAACACATTAATACCCGCAATTTGTCTCGTATTTATCTATTTTAAATTAGAATTTATTCCTCGCGCGTGAACTATTTGGATAATATTGAATAGCGCATTCTGCTAGAATTAAAAATAAATGCTACAAGGAAAAATTTATCTGTTAAAAAATTAAAAAATGTAAACTTTTGTTAGCTTTCAGCATCATAACAAATATATATCTGCGTTATTTTTACAAGAAGAGACGAAAGCGGCGAGTTTTGCGAGAGAGAAAAATTACATGTTCTCATTTCATCTTTTGCGTTTCTAGCATGAAGTCAATCTAATGTAAGAGCTAAAATGGATTGAGAAATTAGAGATAAAGTATTAAAGAGTATTGGTCAGATCGGTTTGTAGTAATCAGTTCGATTGAATTTTGAAATATGCACCCCGACATATTCAAACAATAGACGGTGAAATTGGTTTTCGCATACTGCATTTGTTTGTTATTATTTTCTCGATAAATTTCTGCGGCACTTAAAACCTTTCAATTATTTCCTTCCGGTCAGCGGCACGATTAAAATATTTGTGTGTGTGAACGAAATTATATTTTAGAATTTTATGCTGGAACGCAAATACGCACCAGTAAAATACTTATATATTAATTTCGTCATCGCGGTTGAAAATCAATTTCATATTATTTCGCTGTATAAAAGCTAGGTGGCGGATAATAAAAATGTTTAAAAATATATCGAATATACGTGGCTCATTATTCTTCTACGTCAGAAACAATCGTGAGGATAATCGTTTCAATAAAATATTATTTTTAATATGTACTTTAAGGATCATTTATTGACGGCGGTTGCGTGCGCGACATTGCGTGTGTCAAAGCGAAACTGCGGCACGTATGCAGTTTCGTAGGAAACGATCGTTTCTGTTTAAGTGATAGCGACGGCTTCGAGACTCACAATTGACTGCGCACATACGCTAATTATCCATTTGTCCGACATTCGTTTGTAAACGCGAGGGACAACGATTGAGATGTAGAAGAGCGCTGTGCGATGCGCCGTATCGAAATACCGATTTGCGATCAATAAATTACTGCACGGCCGTTAGCAGGTATTCAAAACGCGCTCATCTCGCGTTTGAATACGCACTTTGATACATCATGCTTGCTTTTGTAGCGGAGAAGTTCAATCCGCATATTGCGTTTTAGACGAGTAGGAGCAAGAAGGGGGGGGGGGGAGTCTGTTTATTTCACCGTTTGCATTCACTTCGATAGTCAAGTATCATTGTTGTAGCGGTCAAACTGGTTCAACTGGAAACAATAGAAGAAATATTACATCAAAGCATTGTCACTGTAATCTTTGTGCGGCCTACAATATAAAGGATTTAATTATCGAAATAATAACGGAAAGCAGAGTACAATATATATCTATAGTTAACCGGTATTCTAGTAATGAGGTAAAGTGTGATAAACGCTGCACTGCGTTCAGCGATGAACTTTGCATTTGTGTGGATGAGATTTTGCGTGAAATTTGAAATGATGAAAAGCACGAAGTAGCAAAGTTCATTGACGATAATGGCAATCACGTAATTAACATTTAAATATAGTGAATTCACGGTGATCATAATAATATGACAAAAAAAGATAATTTAGCAGGATAATTTATAGACTTCAATATTACATGCGCCCTTGCATGGCGATTTTAATTTTTATCTCAATCATTAATTATAATGTATTGAAAACGTATTTGTAAGGTATCGGGACAGCTAATTTTTGCTGAATAATGTGTCAAGAGATGAAAATTTAAAGGGAGACGATAAAACCACGATAGCTGTTATTCTTTATGGACAACGATGTCGTGATTTATGGTGCCACGCTATTGCCTCGGGATCGATCTCGGATAAAGGGGAATGCTTTATGGAAAATATCTCGGCGCGATATGTGTGGTAATCGATACGCGCGAGTTCGTCCCTCGTCGCAGCAATTTCTGCTGCTATAATCCACGGTACGCGGGAGGAAAAAATCAAATAAAATATATTACACTCGATCGCAAAACGACGCTGATTAATTATTATATGAATAATTCTAATTTGATTCCTTTAATTAATTTAGCAAGATTTGCGTCAATATCAAATAACTCAAGTTGTTCACTTTGTTTACCCGATATTCTAATTAAGTTGCGATACGTTATGCTAATTACAAGTCAAAATGAGAAATTGTATACGCGTTTCGTAGTTAAGCTATCGGCTTCTGAAACTTTTAGTCTTTGAAGAGTAGCGCATGAGCGATACAACTGAATAGTTTTGTTCAGCTGCCTTTTTAAAAGAAACTCCGCGCATAAACGTCTAAGACCAATACAACATTTCATCTAGTAGGGAACCAATTTGCGAGTTAGCGAATATCGGTCTCGGGAGTAATTAAACTTTGCTGCTTTGTGCTCAACGTTTATCGCGGATGAGTGTAATTGGTCGGCTGAAGGCGAAGAAATTAACTTTGTCAGGATATCTACGTGTGTATTCGCAGGGAAAAATCGCACTTCACTGTTTAATCAACGAGGTAGTAAAAAGAAGGATTATATAAATGTGGTTAAAGGTACAATTGCATAGAGAGAACGAAGTTTATCATGACTCTTGAGTAAGATTAAAGAAAAATGTAAAATTGCATAATTGCATGTTACTGACTGTATCGTATTTTTCTATACTACTGCAAGAGGCATTTTTTAACTAATTGCTTTTTGTGTGTTGATAACATTAGCTTATATGTACGTTTGCAACTTCTGCAAAGGTTTAATTCACGGTTTACTTGATTTAAATTACAAATTCTAATTATTTGATTCACGAATATTCGAACTCGATCTAAATTACAGGTTGGTACAGGTAAATAGGTAAAATGAAAACTGGAGCTTGCGTGTAATCGTATTCTACCGGCACTCCCTCTGAAAATCCTCCTTTACCTCCTATCTTCACACGCGAAAGGGCAACTGTTATCGATTTATGGTGACACAAGGTATACCAAAGGTAGAAACTTCAGCGATAATGCAATTCGACAATTGCATCCCGGTCTACCGGGTGAAAGATTGGCGCGAAAAAAACGTTAAGAAAATATTCGAGAACGGGAGCGCGAGAGACGGGAAGGAGATAGATAAATAGATAAATAGGTGGAGGTAGATAGATAGATAGATAGATAGATAGATATATACATAGGGAAAATGTATCTAGGGAGGCAGAAAAGAGACGCACATGCATTTACGCGAACCATACCATATCGTCGGTGGTGGTGCGCGGAGAGGAGGCGCGCGGTTGACCTAATTTTTGCAAAACAGCCGGGACTGCGGACCCGCCGCCAGTTCGTGGACTACTAGTAGCGGCGCTGGCGGTGGTCGGCAGTGGTAGTCGGTAGCATGGATAGTCGTCTCCCTCTCTCGCTCGCTGCTCGGGCGCACGGAAAATCCACCGCTTTTCCGGATGCTACGGCACTGTGCCGCGGCGTCGCCGCCGGAGAGAGAGAGAACCCTTTCGTCAGTTAGGTCTCGGCCACCGTCAACGTCAATACGACGAAGGCGCACGAGAGCACACCGTCTCGGCTCCGGTTAGCGCCGAGGCACACTTGGCGCTCATCGACGACAGAAACGCGAACCTAGGCCATTTGCAGCTTTCCTTGTGCTCCCTCGTCGTTTCTTCCACCGATTTTGCTGATTTTTCACCACTTTCTGAAATACAGTTCGCCTTTGTCTGTCCTTCCTTTCTGATTTTCTCTCTTTATCTTTTTCTTCTTTTTCTCTCTTTTATTCTTTTTTCTTCCTTTTCTGTTTTCCTCTATGCATTCCGATACGTTCGAGTCCCAGTATCAGTCTGCCGGTTTATCGCGAGTGCTCCGATAGTGGTTGACACATAGCAGAGGACGCATCTCTCGGGTGTATTCGGGAAAGGAGCTAGGTTTCGCGTGCTCTATGCAGTGTGCAGCCGGCGAGGATATGGCCGGTGGTCGCTCTGTTTCTTTCTGCATGATCCTATCGGGAGTGTCCGCGAGTGCTGTCTCCGAGTGCGGCGGCGACGGCGGCGGACACGCCGGGTGTGAATAATAGAAAGGAGAATGTTTGACGCTATTAAGTAGTATTGACGCTACTGGCGTTATGCTCGCCGAGAAAGAGAAGGAGAGGTAGAACGTGTGAGAGAGAAAGAGAAAGAGAGATGGATGCACTTTGCCGAAGCTCGACGTTTGTTTATCCATTTCCCATTTGTGCAAATTCGCGTGCCATTGTTGTAACAAAAACGCGTATGTACGCTAAATTTCTGATCAGTGTCAGTTAGGCAATTAAATTTTCCTGCTTTTGTGACGGCCGAGGGAATTTTGGTTCGACTTTTTGTTGTAGAAGCACACAGCTGATATATCACGAACCTAACGTCGAAACCATTGTATACGTACATCGGTCATTCGATGGGCACGACCACATTTTATGTGATGGCAATAAAACGTCCAGAAATCGCTAAAATGGTCAGAATGATGATCAGCCTCGCACCAGCAGCCTTTATAGGAAATATGACAAGCTCATTGCAATTGCTCGTTCCTTTTACAAGTTCCTTCGAAGTAAGCTAATTAGCTTGATCCAATTTTCGATTAATTTTATTCAGAGATTCTTCGATGATCATCATTTCAACGACAATAATCTAAAAAATCAAAGTAATTTTCACTATATAAACTATATACCATTAGTTAACGATGTGCTTTAAATCTATGCACTTATCTTTACCTTTGTATTTGTAGAAAAGAGTTCGCTAAACACTTGCAGAATTACTGTACAGATACCTCGCATGACGTGAAAAGAGATAAAAGATTTTCTATTGTAGGCAATGCATTTCTTAGGCATATATGAATTCTTGCCGACGAACTGTGTACTGCAGTATCTAATGAAAGTGTTATGCAACATCGATTTCTTTACACAACAGATCTGCAGTAACATAATTTTCTATATCTGCGGCTTCGATGAAGAACAGTTTAATTATGTAAGTATTCCGTGAGTGCAATGTAATGCAGTTTTAATCGTCGTTTCAATCATTATTCATGTCATTAAACTTCAAAATAGTATTTCACATTGTTTATGCTCCCTAGAATTTATTGCCCATGATCTTGGTCCAATTTCCATCCGGCACTTCAATCAAACTCGTGTCGCATTTCCTTCAGGAAATAAACTCGGGCAAGTTTCGTGCATACGATTACGGAAGAGAAAAAAATATAGCAGATCTACAATG